ATCCTCACCTGGGGCTGGGGCTGTAGGTATCACACACCAGCCAGAGCAGGGAAGGAAGAAAGGGAGAAGAGTTGGGACGTGACAGGGCCCTTATCCCTTCCCACTGCACTGAAAATCCTCCCATTTCCCACAGCTCCCTGCGCACTTCCAGAAATACACACACAATAGAATACATGTTATCAGAGCCTCCTTCAGTGTTGGTGGTGAAAGACAGAACCAAAACCCCCTTAGAGGCCAATCTCCTTCAAGTAGTCCTTTAATGCCATTTACAAACATGCATGTATATTATTATAAAGAAACTATAGTCAAATAACATAGAAATGAATGAAAGAGAAGACAAAGGCCTCTGTACTAGGGGTAAGCTCTCAGGATGGGGGAAGGGTCAGGATAGGGAGCTCCACACATTAATTAGTAGGTAATAAAACCAGTTATTTTACCATATGGCACTGCTGATCCAGCACCAGTTTGGTCCTGCCTTGGCTCTAGCATCCTCTCCTTCTCTCTCAGAATCTACATCAATTTCCTGTCACCATCTCACACCCTCTTTTTTTTTTTTTTTTTGTCTTTTTGAGACAAGCCCTCACTATGCAGCCAAGACTGGCCTAAAACTAGCAATCCTCCTACCTCAGCCTCTCAAGTGCTGGGATTCCAGGCATGTGCCACTACACTGGCTCACCGACCTAATTTAAGAGTACAATTCTTTAAGTGCCTTCCTTCCAATTCTACATTTAAAGAAAATTTACTCTTTAATATTGTAGTAATCTTGGCTTCTAATTCTCTTCTTTACAAACAAGCATAACGGGTCCAAAAGTAACACAGGCTTTCCTGGGCTTGTATGGCAACCTAGAGCTAATGGATACTTGTTTCCCTGGAAAATTCCTTGTTTTTTTTCAGGAGCAATTGTGGGAGCCTTAGTTGTCTGTGCATGTGTATATGTATAGGAGGATTTTTGTCATCTCAAACTCTGTGCTACCATGAAGAACTCACCCCTTGTCCTGCTGCACTGTCATGACAGGCTTCACAAGCAGGGACTCTAGGAGCTATGTCAGGCTCCTAACCTAAAGGAGCAACTGGCAGGTGAAACACTAGCACTGAGCCTGCACATAGTAAGTGCTGGGTAACAGCACAGCTGGGGAGGCAAGTTGGGAAAGCCTAAACTCCAGTTCGTGGGGCCTTGGGCCTGCCTCTTTGGGGCCGGTGAAAACTACAGGTCCTATCTCCAGAGAAGAGTACACATAGGTTTCCTGCAGGCACATGGCCTGGTAGCCCACATGTACCCTGCATGGGTCAGACACCTGGTCTCAGCCCTCTCTGCAGTGACACAAGGGCTGCAGGGACAGGCCTCAGAGGCAATTCTTACACTATCATGTTCCCAGGAACACGGAACTACTGAGCAGGTTCCTCTCCCCTGGGTTTAGGTTCCGCTTCTGGCAGAAACTTTACACCTCTCTTCCCCAAAGCCCTTCTGGCCCTTGCCAGTTCTTCCCCTGCTGCAGACCAGCCAAATCCTCCCTAGGTCCCATGAAGACAACCTCCATGGGTGTGAACAAAGCTCCTCACACCTTGTGTGAAGGATTCTGGTCCTTCTCCAGAGCCCTTCTGGCCCAGTACATGGTTAGTGCTCACTGATGTCAGACCACAGTTTAGACAATGCCTGCCACCTGCTACCCTACCTAGGCCACACAGTCCCATCGGTAGACACTGGGGAAGCCCAGGGCCTTGGTCTCAGCAGCCTAGAGACAGTACAAAGATCATAAGAGAGGAAGCATGAGATTGCCTACTTTTCTACTTGCCTGAGGACATCTGAGTCCTACTTCAGGGCTGAGAACCTCTCAGTCAGTCCTTGAGTTCACCAGACATCACCCTGCATGGGAATCTTGCAAGACACAAGTTCAGCAAGTCCCATGAGGGCCCGAAACCTTACATCTCCACGCCACTCCCAGGCCTGGCAGAGTGGGCCACAGCCCACAGAAAGAGCAGCACGGCTTGCACCAGGTTGGGTACAGCCTCCACCCCTCCCCTTCAGGTGTTGTCTCAATGCCCTTCCTTAGGATGGCGTCCCTTCCCTCCTCCTCTCTTGATTATGGCTCCTGTGCCTCTGAATTTTTTCCTTTGAAGCATTTATAACAACTGTAATTAAAGAGTATTTGTGTAATTATTAGTTTAATGTCTGCCTCCCAGGGAGACTGCAAGCTGCGCTGAGGACGGGCCACACAGCACCTAGCATACATCCTAGCTGCCCAAGACCTGATCGGCCGCTGCAATGGTCTGATGCAGGATGGGCCAGTCTGAGAGCAGGACGGTAAGGAAAGCTCAGGGCTGAATGATCCTTGGCTATAACACAGCCCCAGTTCCAAAAATCACCTGGGCTGGGGTGTGGCTCAGAGATAATAAGCATTCTTTGCATAGGTATGGAAACTTGCCCGATTTTTTTAAAAAAAAGTATCCTAAAGCTTTATCACAGGGTCGGGGAGATGGCTTAATAGAATAAGCACTTCCCTGGCAAGTGCAAGGGCCCGAGTTCAATCCCCAGTTCCACAAAAAAAAAAAAAAAAAAAAAAGCTTTATCACATATAGAATTGTCCTGATTTGTACCACCACTCTACCAGAGAACAAGTGGAATCTGGGAAACAACCCCTCCCTCCCATGCTTATTAGGAAGACCAACTTCAGGCTTGCTGTGGACTCTGGCAGCGGAAGCCTCATGCATGTTCCTGGACCAGACTCCCTGTGCTGCACACTGATGGATTTTCTAGCTTTTCTTGTGCCATCCCATGGGACACAGCACAAGGAAGGCCTGGCACCCTGGTATGGGCACAGCTGTCTGACCATATCATCATCCCAGGGAAGTAAAGTGTGAAGCCAGGCCCTGGATTTGCACACCAGCTCTGTGGCCTTGGACAAGTGACTTGGCCCCTCAGTGCTGTTTCCTGGGCTACCAAGTGAGAGTAATCCTGGGGCAGTTTCTGCAAGGACTAACAGCAAGCCTACCTGTACTGCACTAAGCATAATCCACGGGTTCACTTACCAGTTTTCTCAGAGGTGTGCCCAATGCAAAACCTTCCAAACCTCTCCATTGTTTTGCAGGAGTCTCCACCCAGCAGCTCCACCCAGGCAGGATCTACTCTTCCCAGCCCCCTCCTGCCTCACCTGTCTGGAGCTGGTTTGAAACAATGAATCACAGCACAACTCTGCAGCTCCCATCAATCACCTCTCTGTCTCTGCCCCTGTCATTCCCAGGTTCCTTCTGGGAGAGAAATCCCTTTCCCAGCATCCAGGACATTTATCTAACAAGCATTTATGAAGGGTCCACTAGGGACCAGTTCTACAGGAGCTCCACAATGGACAAACAGAAAACAAGCACAAAGTAAGATGGCAGCAAAAATCCCACCTGTACCCAGATCTACCACCAGACCTCCACACAGGGAGGTTCTAGCAGCGTGAATCCATGGATGGAGATTTCACTGGATCTCTGGCCCTTCCTTCTGTCCCCATTCTTCCCTTCTGGCCAATCCTAAGGGAGGCCCACACCTAAGCACAAAGTATGAATAAAGTATTCCAGATCAAAAAATGGTAAATTGGGAACATTCTCATGACTAAACGTCTACCCTGCTGAACTGCTGGACTTTGAAGAAGTCAGTATTAAAATAGCCAGAAGCACCTAGTTTCCCCAAGTCACACAGGCATCATATCTTCCAGCCTCTCTTGGAAAACATCTCCCTTTACCACGCTCCTGGGCTCCTGCAGGTACAAGACTGGGGTTTCATGTTCTCAGAGCCACATTTTCCGAACCAAGCTTGACTGGGGAACTCCAGCAGTCACAGAGACAGTGACATTGTGCAAAGAGATCCTGGAAACCCAAGTTTGAGCACTGGCTCTGTCATTTACTGTTTGATCCAGAGCAGGAAATGTTCTTGGTGCTTGTTCACTTTCTTTCTTTTCTTTTTCTTCTCTCTCTCTTTTTTTCTTTTTCTGTTTCTTTTAAATAATCTCTAAGATTACCTTCCAGCTTCGAAGTCAAACAGCTGGATCAACGACCATTAGCTCAGACCTTGCAGATTCAGGGGTTTCTTTTTGTTGTTGTTTGAGACAGGGTCTCACCATCTAGTTCAAGCTCACCTCCAACTCACAGTACTCCTTCTGCTTCAGCCTCCTGAATGCAAATCTAGATTCCTTAATTCTACAAACTGTGGCCCAGCCCCTACCAGCCCCGGGCCTGACACGCAGCATCCCAGGGACGGAGCCAGATGATGAGCTGCACCCTGCATCGGTACTGTGCAGGGACCCTGGGCCTGAGATACAACAGCCTCTTCCCTTTATCTACTGACTCCCTTCTAGAAAGAAATTGTGCTTCTTTCCAAGTGCAATCTTGCTCAAAATGTATTCAGGCCACAAAGCAAACTTTAAAGTTATGCAAAATCTCTGGTAGTCCCATTTTTTCATCCTGAGAGCCATTCCACACCTTGCCTCCCTGGTAGGAAATGCCCAGTTGGGGGAAGAAGTGACCTAAGTAAGCACAGAAGGACTCACGCACAGGCAGTGGGCTTGAGACCAGACTCACCTCCCACACAGGATACCTCCTAGGCCAGGCTAGAAGAAGAAACCACCTCATTTCTCCGAGTGCCCTCCTACCGCAAAGCCAGCTCTGTGTGGGAACTGCAATTTCCAGCCACAGGTGACGGGCAAAAATTCTGCCTAGCAGGTGCCTGGCAAAGGCAGATTATGGCTGGAGGAGTGGCTACAAAACCATCAGGAAAGCTAGAAAATATTCAGCTTAAAACAAATGAGAAAGCGGTGCCTATAGTAGGTCTCAAAACTCAAAACCAGGCAGGCCTATCAGCCCTACTGCAGTATTTCTAATATCTTAGAACAGTTAAGGACTGGCTTCTGCCCCTCCCCACCAGCCTCCACTGTGAAGTGAAGCCGAAACTTGAGGTGCAGCCCCCACCAATAACTGGGAACTTTACCCGGCAGAAATGAACTTTGACCATTTTTACTTACACTAATACAAAGGCAGAGCTGACAGCAGTTTCAAAGCTGGCTAGGTGACCCCCAGAGAGCCAAGTCCTCCTCCGCACACCTGCAGGGAGTTCTGCGAGTTTCCCAGGTACCCACGTGGACTAGCGATGTCCTCTCCAGGTAGTCATCGGCAGGCAATTTGCATTGTGAACTGAAGTACAGGTGCGAGGGGTAACCTTCGCAGGCAGGGCACTCGACCTGCAGCTCAAGAGTGGGCCACCAGGATGTCCTTTCGCCAGCGGGCCCATCTCTAACCGGGAAGGACCTCGCAGTGTCCTCGTGAAAACGCACCCAGCTACTGCGATGCCACACCTGGACCATCTCACCAAGCGCAAAGAAACATTAATGACAGTCTCGGATTCGTTAAAAGCCACATAAGCACCTCCCTGGCCTCTTAAATCCTCCCAAACTACAGTTCAGACAGCAGGGAAGCAGTTGCAGGAACCATAAAATTCATCTTAAAAGGCAAGTCAAAAAAAAAAAAAACCTGATACGCACTAGTTAGCAAGTCCGAGGCTGAGGGGTGGGGAGACGGTGGCAGCGAGAGGGGCTGGGTCTGTGGGATCTGCGCGCCTAGGCTGGGGAGATCCCCGGGTTTCTGTACCCATCTGGCACCCTGGGAGGCCCGATCTGACTTTACCATTACGACTCAAAGCTCCACGCAATTAAAAAAATGACTGCGAGGAGATGGAAAGCGGGCGATCAGGAGGGGGCCTGAGCGGGGAGGCCAGAGACCGGCTATGGGGACCCCGCCTGCCACCTTCCCCACCCCCCCAAGCATGCGAGCGCTTTCAACAGGTCTCCGTCCCGGGCGACGGGACACCGGGGGTCGCGCGACGCCTGCTGGCGGCGGCCGGGGACCGAGGCGGGGTGGGGGTGGGGGTGGCTCCCGGGCACCCCTGTCTGTGCGCCCGGCCCCCGCCCCTACCCCGCGCCGGCCGGCTGGACACGCAGCTCCCCCAGCCGCGCCGAGAGTAAAGTTTGTGGGCAGCCGCAGGGGCGGGGCGGCAAAGGGGTGAAACTTTGAGTCCTGGGCCGGGTGCGGGGGGAGCGCGCAGCGCGCCGGGACACCCACGTGCGGGCGGGCCCGCCGCAGCCACCGCCACCGTCGCCGCCGCCGCCGCGCGGGCCTCCCGCTCCGCCGCCGCCAACGCCGCGGCGCTTTCATTTTGCTCCTCTCGCTCTCCCTCATTCGCGCGCTCGCCCCGCTCTCCCTCCCTCCTTCCCTTCCCCCTCTTCCTCCTCGCTCTTGCTCCCTCCCCCCCACCCCAGACGCCATCTCGCTCCCGCGTTCCCCGGCTCTGCCTCGTTCCCTCCGGCTCCCCGGCATGAGGGAATGTGGAAGGCGAAGGGAGAGACGACATGTTTGCAGTGCGGCGCGGGCCTGCGCGCCGCCGTCCCCGGGGAGAGCGGGGGGCGGGTCGGCCGGGCCGCAGCGACCCCCCCAGTCCGCGTCCCCGCCG